TTTTGAAACGCGATTTTACTTTATACTGACCCAAGTGAAGCCAATGCATCCAATTGCATCTGACAACATGTCCCCCAAAATCGCTGGATACGAGTTGGCAGTCGGATAGAAAGCGTGAAACCGCGGATTATGCCAATGAGTGATCTGAAAAAAATGGCAATCTTCAATCAAAATGCCTCCCTTCTCACTTTGAAAACAATTTAATAAATCTAGGAAAAATCTGATTACGATCGGAACTCCTGCCTCACCCCGGGCATGATGACCCTGTCCAGGTCACCCAACACAGCAGACCAAGGCTCTGCATCTTCAGGGGCGTGATCAGGAATCAGCTCCTTGATGTAACCAGGCTGAAGATCAGGTACGACTCGTCGCGATTCTATGGTGTCCAAATAACCTGCGACGTAATCGACCATATCTCTAGCTGCTGCTTTAAACTGTTCCGAATCCATCTTAGCACTTGAAAATTCAAGTTTTCGAAAGAATTTTTTCGTCACGCGCTGCCTGCAAGGAAGAAAAATTGATGGCGAACATGCTTGAGAATTGAAAATTCCATGCTTGCTATTCAGTCACATGCAGAAAATTGAAAATTTCTTAATTAGAGCAATTAACTTCTCCCGATATGCTGAAAAAATAGTCCCATAGAAATCTACGAAAAACACTGATGAGAACCATTATCGAATCAAAAATGCAGGTTTGAAAGTGATAAATAATCTATATGTTTAAATCCGCGGAAAAATACGCCTGACGAAGAGAATCTAAATTCAGTAAAATATATAATTTTATAGAAACCCACGGAAAAATCGGAGAACGATAAATTTTAGAATTTGAAAAGTGTCTGCTTCACTAGATCAATTGAAACAACCTTGAACGCCAATACCATCAGTGATGTAATATTATTTACTAAATTATGAGCGATTTTATTCTTCAAAATGTCCACGCCACAGCATCAAGATTCACTGAGTAATTTTGCTCAGTTTTCAGTCACTACTTCAGCGTTCTGAACAAAAAAAATTTTCCCTAGCACAGGAATGAATTCAGCTTAAATAATTCGGCCAATTTCTGCACGTCCATATTTGATATATAGTGTACAGGTGGTATCTTGCAATTCAACCCTAATCCATTGCCAAACTAGGTTTGAATTTCAAATCAATTGAATTGCAAGACACTCTGTCTAATACAAAATATACGTACAAAAATGCAAAAAATAAAACAGCAAGTGAAATTGCAAGGCAAGGGTCAAATTGTAAGGCAACCTCCCTGCAAATTTGACTGTCAAATTTGACCTGTATATGAATATTGAGAGCATTCATTCTTTGCATGAATTTGTGTATAATGTTTAAATAAGTGTTCCCCAATCCATGGTCTGCTGACCAATGCAAGTCTGCAGAATTTTTTTTGCCAGTCTCCAAGACATTTTCAGCATGATAAATTTATCAAAATTCGGTATGAAGTCTGTTCTCTTTAAGTAAAAATTTTTGGAAGGACAATGGCAGTTGAATTATTAGATGAAAACATAAGGCTTTCCTCCTGATAGCACTTCAGACATAAATTGTCACCTGCTGAAATACATTATTTTAATTTTTCATTTGAACAAAGGTTTCTCCATGATGCCCACCTTTCTAATTGTTTGTTGACATTCTTAACTGAATTTTTCTGGTAAATACCTGCCTAATAAGATTCAAGCAAAACTTTGGTGAGTCTACAACAATTTTATGAAACTTTGCCAGTCTACAGAACATTTTTTGGGAATTCGCCAGTCTGCAAAATGTTAATTCTTTTTGGAAATTTACCAGTTCGTGGGTTAAAAAGGTTGGGAACACTGATTTAAACAATAAATTTCAATGCACTTTGAACATTTCCTCATCTCCAGGAATACCAGCAATAATTGAAGCGCACAACTGAAAAAACCCCCTTCATCCAGCATCACTTATCAGGAACCAGCAACAATTCACACTTTTCAGGTTTAAATAAAATAATGCATAAATAACAATATGTGGAAAATCCAGACGGCGTGTCAGATTCTTCCACACTCATTCCGTCCTTGTGC